TCTAACAGCCTCAGGGTAGAAGCTGTTCCTCAGTCTACTGGTTCTACACTTAATGCTCCTCAACCTCCTTCCTGAGGGAAGTGGGGCAAAACATGTGTGTGCTGGGTGAGTGGGGTCCTTCATGATGCAGGTGGTCCTCTTCCTGCATCTGGAAGTAAATGGTAAATGGACTAATTATATAGCGCCTTTCTATCTTATCAAGATACTCAAGCGCTTTACACTACAATCTGTGCCTCATTTACCCATTCATACAGCACTCTACTAGATCTCTACAAAGCTAATTGAACAAATCATTCTAAAGAGACTTAACAGAGCTTTATCACATTCATACACTGATGGGACACACATCGGAGGCAACGAGGGGTTCATTGTCTTGCCCAGGGACACTTTGGCATGTGACTGCTGGTGGATTCGAACCCCCAACTCTTGCATTGGAGGACAATTGCTCTAACAACTCAGCCACAGCCGCCCTAGGTGTAGATGTCTGTGATGGTGGGGAGGCTGACTCCAACAGACTTCTGTGCAGCCTTCACCACTCTCTACAAAGCTTTTCTTTCTGCAGCTGTGCAGCCTCCATGGACCACTGAGCAACAGTCTAGTGCTGCTTCTCTGTAGCCCAGGTCAGGCGCTTCTGCCGCTGTTTCTGGTTCAAAAGTGGCTTGACCTGGGGAATGCGGCACCTGTAGCCCATTTCCTGCACACGCCTGTGCACGGTGGCTCTGGATGTTTCTACTCCAGACTCAGTCCACTGCTTCCGCAGGTCCCCAAGGTCTGGAATCGGCCCTTCTCCACAATCCTCCTCAGGGTCCAGTCACCTCTTCTCGTTGTGCAGCGTTTTCTGCCACACTTTTCCCTTCCCACAGACTTCCCACTGAGGTGCCTTGATACAGCACTCTGGGAACAGCCTATTCGTTCAGCAATTTCTTTCTGTGTCTTACCCTCTTGCTTGAGGGTGTCAAAGATGACCTTCTGGACAGCAGTCAGGTCGGCAGTCTTACCCATGATTGTGGTTTTGAGTAATGAATAAGGCTGGGAGTTTTTAAAAGCCTCAGGAATCTTTTGCAGGTGTTTAGAGTTATGTCGTTGATTCAGATGTTTAGGTTAATAGCTTGTTTAGAGAACCTTTTCATGATATGCTAATTTTTTGGGACAGGCATTTTGGGTTTTCATGAGCTGTATGCCATAATCATCAGTATTAAAACAATTAAAGACCTGAAATATTTCAGTTGGTGTGCAATGAATCTGAAATATATGAAAGTTTCAGTTTTATCATTACATTATGGAAAATAGTGACCTTTATCGCAATATGCTAATTTTTTGAGAAGGACCTGTATATCTGATATAGTGCCAAGTCACAACAGAAGTCATCTCAGGGCACTGAACAGAAACATTCATATACATCAAAAGTAAATGATTAAAAAAGTAAATTAGGGCACAGATTGTGTTGTAAAGAGCTTTGAGTATCTTCAATTCATATCAAAAATACTTTATTAATCCCAGAGGGAAATTAAATCTTGACTAGATAGAAAGATTCTATATAAGTACAGTCCATTTACCAGTTACATTGCAGTGCACACCAATGAACTGGAGTTTTCGTTGATTTTTTATGTGGAGGGGGGTGGGGTGTTTGGTAACCTCTAATTGTAGAAAAAATACAGTGAAAAGATTTCTTTTGGGCTTTAATCCGTGTGGTCTTTTGACTGGCATGTTGAGGCAGCAACTGTGCTAGGCTTAAACATAAAAGGAGCCGTGCCCAAAACTAGATGACTTTGTCATCTGATGATCTAAGATCTTATTCTGGCTTTTCTTCATCTTGTGACAGTGACTCAACATTATCTAAAGTAAAATCAGATCCTTTGTTACTGTCTGTGTTGTTTGCCAGTGTGGCGATGCTCTGCGTTCCTCTTCGTCATCACTTCCAGTTGCTGCACATACGTCTTATCAGTCAAGCAGCTGGTCTGATGATCTCAGTGCCTGAAAAGGAACATATGGTTGAAGTAGGTCAGAGAGATATGAGGGTGCAAGGCCATTAATGTACTTTTTTCATTCAACCTTTATTTTGACAGGTAATCCCATTGAGCCTCGAGGACTCTACTTAAATGTCAACAGGATAATTTTAAAATCAATTCTGACAAGCACAGTGAGCCAGTGAAGGAAGGACAAAACTGGTGTAATATATGATCAAACCCTATGAGTTCCAGTTAAAATTTTGTTGTTTTTATTGACATCATTGGAAGCACTGGATGCTAAGGATTATTGTGCTGCACTTTTCTTAGACCTGTCTAAAGCTTTTGATACTGTGGATCATAACATCTTGTGTCATAAACTCTCAGAAATTGATTTCTCAGAACACACCATTGGTTGGTTCTCTAACTATCTTTCAGACCGGAGGCAATGTGTTCAACATAATGGTGTTTCCTCCAGTTATTTAACAGTTAACAATGGTGTACCACAAGGCTCAGTCTTAGGACACACCCTCTTCACAATCTACATAAGTAATGTGGGTCAAATCATCCCTAATGCATCTTTACATTTCTATGCTGATGACACAGTTGTTTATTGTCAAGCTAAAACAGTTAAGGTATTCCAGCTTTTGAAATCTGAATTTAACATCATCCAGTCAGATTTGTTCCGTCTCAAACTTTTTTTTTCATTCAACCTGTATTTAAACAGATAAGTCACATTGAGTGTCAAAGACTCATTTACAAGTGAGACCTGTTTGGACAGACAATATAAGTGATAAACTGGACACATGTAGGAATTGGAGGCAAAAAAATTCCTATCAGACTTTTTTTTCCCTGCCTGAGAAGAAAAAACTGATATTAAAAAACATCTCACACAAACAAGCACATAGTGACGTAGACATTCTGCAGAGGGGGGAGACGAGAGCAGTTAGCATGATCATAGATGCTCTCGAGGGCATTGTAAGAGTTCTGATGAAGATGTAATAATCAGTCAATGTCCTCCGGTGAGATCTACTTGTCCTAAATGCCGACAGAACCAAAGGGATGCTTTTTTCAAAAAGAAAGCCGGTCCCAGCAGTTCTTCCTCCGATTTTATCCTATAATGGTGTCCCTGTTGAGTTTGTCGATTCCTACAAATATTTGGGTATTTTGGTTGATTCACATCTCTCTTTTAAACTTCACGTGGAAAACTTGGTAAAGAAACTGAAAGTTAAACTGAGTTTCTTTTTCAGAAACAGATCCTGTCTAACTCTGAATGCTAGAAAACACCTTGTATCTGTGACCTTCCTTCCCTCTATTTATTAAAGTGACATTATTTACATGAACACTCCTACAAGAACCCTGCAGATGTTGGACACATCATCATGGTGCACTAAGATTCATAACTGGCTGTAACTACCGTACCCACCACTGCACCCTGTACTCACTGGTTAACTGGACATCATTAACCCAACATTTTTGTTCAGGGGGGCATACCAAAGAGACCATCTTATCACAAGCAAAACTGGTTTGTTCCACTTTGGAGTAAACTGTTGGGGGAATAATCAGTTTTGTTGTGTGTTTCCTTGATTGATGAAGCCTTCTGGAGTGAAGGTGAAACGTTTCAGCACAAAAAAAATAGAAACTGTCCAGATGACCTGACTGAAAAATGTTGGATTGTATACCTAGATTATTGAGCATGGACTTTGTTGGTCATCATTAACTTCACAGACTCTCTCACTGGTATATTTTCATCTTTAAATCACTTCTTGGTCTGCTGCCTTCATACATCTCCTCCTACATGTCTCTGCGTGAGTGCAGCTACAGCGTGCGCACTCAGGACATTATTACCTGCAGTGTTCCCTCAGTGAGGACTGAACTAGACAAAAGGACCTTCTCCTACTCCGCTCCTGTTTCCTGGAATATCTTACAAAAAGATCTGAAGCTCTTGATCTTGACCTCTTTAAGTGGCTTCAAACATCTGTTTAGTTCCTGCAATAACCAATGCAGACATGTTCCTGTTTTTAGTTTTCTACACCACCTTATAATCGAGCTGTTTTTTTCGCTACTTGTCCATTAATTATCCCTTTAATTACAGTTTTATTTTCATCCATCCATCCATCCATCCATCCATTATCTTTACCTGCTTATTCCATTTTGGGTCACGGGGGTCGCTGGTGCCCATGTCCAGCAATCACTGTGCGAGGGGCGGGGGACACCCTGGACGGGTCGCAAGTCCATCACAGGGCCACATAGACAAACGAGACGAACAACCATTCACTCTCTCACTCTCACCTAGAGACAATTTAGAGTTACCAATCAGCCTAACATGCATGTTTTTGGTCTGTGGGAGGAAACCGGAGTACCCGGAGAAAACCCACGCATGCACGGAGAGAACATGCAAACTCCACCCAGAAAGGCCCCTGGACCGGGGTTTGAACCAGGGACCTGCTCACTTCACTGAGAGGCAGCAGCTCTACCAGTTGCACCACCGTGCTGCCCCAGTTTTATTTTCATTAAAAAAAATAAAAAAAATAAAATTTGTACACATCCTTTATGATTGTCCACTGTTGTCATCACTCTTTGTTAAAATTCAGGTCTCTCTTGTAAATGAGTCCTCGTGGCTCAATGGGACTAACCTGTATAAATAAAGGTTGAATGAATAAATAAGAGACGAGCTGCAGCATTGTGGCCAAGCTGGAGATGTGACATGGAGACCTGACTGACCCCAGCATGGAGTGTGTCTTGTCGGGTTGTAATGAATGCATGGACTATTTTTTCAGTGACTGTGACCACACATCTCAACAACTGTTTATCTCAGAGGCATACGTTTTTGTTACTATTTGTTATTGGTGTTATCTTTACATTGTATTTATCACAAAAATTTGATGTTATAGTCACTTTAATTACTGATTAATTTTTTTATAAATACTTTTTTTTAACGTATTTCTTTTGGGCTGAACAATAAGCTTTTAGTTTTGTTGAACTTTATATGATATCAACCTAGTCTGATTCAGATAATTGTATTTTGTCTCTTTGTTCTCTTCCTTACTCCAGGAGAAGGCCACCTGGCTGTTGCCCACTACCGGGAAGCAATACGACTTAAACCAGAACATTTTGTTGCAATGGTGAACCTGGGCCGTCTTCTGCGATCGTTGAATGAAAACGAAGAGGCAGAGTTTTGGTACAAAAGGTAGGACAAGTAACTTAAAATGTCAAGAAAATAAATCTTAAAAATATGTTTAAAATAAACACAATGACCTTGTCAGAACAGAAAAATTAAACCAGTATGATTGAACATAAGATCCCAGCTCATCAGAGCAGACATGTCCAGCAAAAACAAAAGGTGACCGTGATCCTGTAACTGTCCCCCAACCTGGAGTGATTCACTATAAACTGTAAGCCTTCCCTGTGCACTCACTTCATTTGTCTTGGTCCGTGTACGTTCATCCAGATGTTGACCAAAAACGCACAACTCAGTCTCCACCACATTTTGTGTGTGGAACAGACATTTATATTTTTTAGTATATTTGACTATTATAATTTAAAGTGTTTGTATGACACAGGCACCAACACCAGAAAGTAAATATGTGCCATTGTACTTGGCAAAAAAAAAGGTTTTGATGTTTTTTTAATCACATGCACAATTTCACGTTTTTTTTTTTCATTCTGCAGGGGCTCTACGAATGTTATCCCCGTGTTCAAGGGTCTAAAGTAAAGATCTCTGACCTCTGTGTGCAGGGCCCTGCAAGTGACCAGGAAAGTGGACATCCTGACTCCCCTTGGAGCGCTGTACTACAACACAGGACGCTATGAAGAAGCGCTGCAGGTGTACAGAGAGGCTTCAGCCCTGCAGCCAGATAGCACTGAAATCTGGTTAGCTTTGGTGAGCGCACGTGCACACACACACACACACACTTTAAATTTCTCTTCTTATTTAACAAATAAACTTCTTAGAACATTCTGATAAACTTTAAAAAAGGTGTATCCTGATGCATGCTCAGTAATCCAGGTAAAAAATCTAAAAAAGTTAAATCTGGTCCTCTGGACATTCAAAAAACAACAAAACAAAAAAAATTTGTAGAAATGTTTCGTCTTTCATTCGAAAGACTTCTTCAGTCTGAGGTGCTGTATTCAGCTCAGTCTTATAAATAGCACCTTCTCAGAGTGGATCAACCAGTTTAATGAAACATAAGTGTGCTATGGGGTCTCCAGTTTCTCCTATTGTTGCCAACCTGTACATGGAGGAGGTAGAAAAGAGAGCCTTGACGTCCTTTTCAGGGACACCACCAAGTCATTGGTTCAGGTATGTTGACGACACCTGGGTTAAAATCAAGTCTCAGGAAGTCCAACATTTTACTGACCACATCAACTCTGTGGATAAATGCATCAAGTTCACACGAGAAGATGTAAAAAATGGCAGGTTGGCTTTCTTGGACTGTGAGGTCTCAGTCTCTGATAGAGGACATTTGCAAACTGAGGTGTACCGCAAACCCACCCACACAGACCAGTATTTGCAGTTTGACTCCCATCACCCTTTGGAGCACAAGTTAGGAGTCATCAGGACTCTGTATCACAGAGCAGACAGCGTCCCCACTAACTCGGGAGCCAGGCAGAAGGAGAAATCCTACACATGATAGGCTCTAGAGCAATGTGGATATCCTAACTGGGCCTTCCTGAAAGCAGAGAAGAAACCCAAACAGGACTCCAGTCAGCCAACAGGTGAAAAGGAGGAACCCAAGTCAAGTCAAGTCAAGTCATATTTATTTATAGAGCAGAATTTAAAACAGATAGACTGTTATCAAAGTGCTTAACACTAAGGGTAACACTGAGAAATAAAAAGCAGTAAGAATATACCTTAAAAAATTAAAACAACAGCATTAAAATGAAGACATGGAACAAGATATACTAAATCAACTCACACAGTATGAAACGCCAGAGAGAACAGATATGTTTTTAGCAGGGATTTGAACACAGGAAGGGAGGTGGCATGCCTAATGTTGGGGGGTAGGTTGTTCCACAGTTTGGGACCCATGACTGAAAACGCCCGATCTCCTCGGAGCTTCAGTCGTGTTTTTGGAACAACCAAAAGCAGCTGATCGGATGATCTCAGAGCCCGAGAGGGAACATATGGTTCCAGTAGCTCAGAGAGGTAGATGGGTGCGAGGCCATTTAGGCACTTATAGGTCAGGAGGAGAATTTTGAAATCAATCCTAGTTCTCACAGGAAGCCAGTGTAGGGAGGACAGAACTGGTGTGATATGCTCATACCTCGGTGTACCGGTTAAGAGCCGAGCTGCAGCATTCTGGACGAGCTGTAGCCGTGAGATAGAGGCCTGGCTGACCCCAGCATACAGTGAATTACAATAGTCCAGGCGGGTTGTGATGAATGCATGGACTAGTGTCTCAAGGTCGGGTCTAGACAGCACTGGCTTGAGCTTAGCTACCTGCCGCAGTTGGAAGAAGCTTCTCTGCAGAACCGAACTGATCTGTTTGTCGAACTTAAAATCCGAGTCAAAAACCACTCCGAGGTTTTTAACAGAGTGCTTCAGATAAGGCTGAAGGGAGTCCAGGTTCACAGGATAAGAGGCGGCAGCTGAGCTAGGGCTAAAGACAATGACTTCAGTCTTCTGGTCGTTAAAACTTAGAAAATTTGAAGCCATCCATGTCTTAATGTCGTCCAGACATTTGAGGAGAGGGTGGACTGAACAAGGACCGGCTGGTTTCAGTGGCAGGTAGATCTGACAGTCATCGGCGTAGCAATGGAATGGAATACCGTGTTTTCTTAGGATCGACCCCAGCGGAAGCAGATAGAGTGAAAACAGAAGGGGTCCGAGAATCGAGCCCTGCGGGACACCGCAGGAAAGAGGCATTGAAGTGGATAGATTTTTACCCAACTTCACACAAAAACTCCTGTCAGAGAGGTATGAGCGGAACCAGTGTAATGCAGCACCAGTAATCCCAACCCAGTGTTCAAGCCGAGAGATGAGGATACTGTGGTCAACAGTATCGAAAGCGGCAGTAAGATCGAGGAGTACAAGAGCCACAAAATGACCAGAATCATTTGCTGTTAAAATGTCATTACAAACCCTAACCAAAGCTGACCCAGACCCAGACCAGTGGTCATTCCATATGTTGAGGGAGTATCAGAGAAACTGAGACGTTTATTTTCTAAACACAACATCCCAGTGGCTTTTAAACCTCAAAATACATTATGGCAAAGACTGGTTCATCCCAAAGATCCAGTCCCCCGGCACAAAGAGTAATATTGTGTATGTTGTTCAGTGTCAGGAGGGCTGTGATCAGTCTTACATCGGGGAAACAAAACAGCCACTGGCCAAAAGGATGGCCCAGCACAGAAGATCCACATCATCAGGCCAGGACTCTGCGGTCTACACTCATCTCCAGGCCAGAGGTCACTCTTTCAGGGATGAAGATGTTCACATCCTGGATAGAGAGGAACAATGGTTTGAGAGAGGAGTAAAGGAGGCCATCTTTGTGAAAAGAAACCGTCCATCATTAAACAGGGGTGGAGGCCTCCGGGTTCAACTGTCCCCCTCTTACAATGCTGTGATTGCTAGTATCACTCAGCCCTCTGTGAACAGTAAACAGCCATCAGTGTGCTAATGATCCACTGTTAGGCTGATGGTCCTTCTTGACCATGTGAGCAGTGTAGTATGACATATGCTGGATATATTCATACATTTCACGGGTTCTTCATTTTTCTGACTGTGTACATGTCGTGCATTGAATTTAACAGAAATGTAACGAGAGACGTTATTTATCTTTGACCCATCAAAATGAATGCGGTCATTTATTTACAGAATCAAAGTTTAACATCAAACATTTACATTAATTTGGCAAAATATGAAAACAATAACATGGCTAGTTTCACAGGAAGTGAGAACAATACGGCGATTGTTGTCGCTTTTCAGTAGAACAGCAGACATCAATCACATGGCGGTGATTGAGAAACTTTGCTTCAGACATTTCTAAAATATCTGTAATGATTTTTAGGAGAAAGGAGAGTTTAAGATGGAAAATGGAGATTTATCTTACAGAGAGATGTGTGAGGGAATTTATCTGTGGTACCAGAACAACACGCTCTTTGGAGAATAAGCTTGGCCCACGGTACGCTTGGTCGAATAGGACTTTTACCTGGCAGATGATAATCAGCGTCGGTGTAGAGTTCCCTTCTGACTCTTTCAGCGTCTCCGTGAGGACAGCCAAACCCCTAGGAGTCGTGTGAGGTTATCCAGACAGAAGTTATAATCCCCAAAACCGTCTCTGGATCATCTTGAATGCGTTTGCATCCAAGAACTCTGAACTCTTTACGTCTCCAACTCTTTCAAAGCTCTTTTCATCTCGTCACGTCTCGTCTCGACACGACAACGGAACTTTTAGACGACACTTCTCTCCGAGAACTGGGAAGTTGCCACATTTAAATGGGTTCGACTTCCGGGTCATTTGAGAGCCTTCTGATTCGTGGATGGACCAGAACAGAGGTGTGGTTTGTGATGTAAGGTGTTATGAAAGTCAAGGATAGAGATTAAGTTTGTTTAAAGCAGACAGAAAGATTATTGGAGAAAACCAGACTT